TTCCCTCATGCCCATGTGATAAAAGAGCGAGATATTCAAGTCTGAAGAAAAATAAGAACATGAGCAGAGTCAAGAGAAAGAGAGTAAGTTTGCTATATCTGTCTTTTGTGTTTACCCGGCTGTTGCCGCCACTATTTGTATTGCAGAAACTTGTCATGGATGAACGAGGTGAGGAAAAAAAAAGAAGCAAAATGAGAACGAAGATGGCGATTTTTTTCAATAAAAATGGAGAATTATCTGATTATGAGGGTATAAGCGTAATTATGCTTTCAATTCTCACTAAATAAATGACACGTGACAATTCCATCACTCATTATAACAGAAGTATAAAACTTGTTAACGGAACAAAGTGCATAGATAGTGGATGTTGTTTATTAAAATTTAAAGGGTAAAGTGTTACAATAATCATAATTTAGGAGGAATTTTTAAAATTAATCCTTAAAAAAACGTGGAGGTTATGTACGCCAATAACTTAGCAATTAGATGTATTCTCTAATTACTTTTTGGATGCCACAAGATCCCCACGCCGAGAGTTAGCCACCGCCGGCTCCGCGCATTCCGGCAACCAACACAGCCGGCGTGAGATCCCCCTCACCCCATGCACGATCTCTATTCTCTGCTACTCTTTCTGGCTTTGGAAGAACTTTAATACACAACTCACTCATTCGTCCGAAGATCTCTCTGCCTCCCCACCAAAGATTGTCACTCTCACCACTTATTGTCCAATCTGGGCTTTTTCTTCACCTATATGCAATCTTTTTTTTTTCCTGAACAAAAAAAACAAAAACAAAAACAAAATTATGCAATGAAGTGTGAAGAGCCATGAACATTGTTGGCTTAATGAGAAGCAATCATAGAAAAAAATTGAAACACCAAACCTTTGCCTCTGAAGAATTTTGACCTTCCATAAATTATAGCTTTTTTTTTTTCCATTACGTTTTGGCTTAAAGAGATTAATTACGTTTTTTATTTTACTTTTCTTTAGTTTTTTCGAATATCATTAGTATTTTTTTTAATGGTTCATTAATATTAAATGTATTATAATAATCAGGTTTTTAGATTAAAATATATTCTAATTCAGATTACATTTTAAGATTACTAAAATACCCTTACATTATGTAAGGGAAGCTAACTTTCCATTAAACTTCTAAAAGACGTTTTGTTCTTGAAGGGCACAAATGTTATATTTTAAAGATCGAATGGCAAAATGTTATAAAGATTATAATTTGGGAGAATTTTTATAATTAATCCGTTTTAAATAACTTTTTTTTTATTTGATCAGCAAAAATAACTTTCTTTTATTTAATGAAGTTTGCTTACCAAGTATTTGTTAATATGTTTTAATGAATGTTGATTTGCTTTTAACAAGATAAGTATTGAGTGTTAATGTTGAGGTCTAGAGTATTCATATTCCCACTCCCACGCCTCTTCAGTTAAAAAAGGAAAAACAAAAAAAGCAAATATTTTTGGAAACTTGGACGAGTCAGAGGTTGAAAATGACTCACTTGACCTATCAAAAAAAAAAAAAAATGACTCGGTTGAAACAGAGGTTGAAAGATTTTTTACTTATTTACCATACATGTCGGCTAAGGTAACAAAGTCAGCTTAAAAGTTCATTTAATTAAGTTTGTCCTTTAAAAGAGCAAAATTTTGCAGGAGTTCTTTCCATTATAAATGTTCTTAGTTAGCAGTAGAAGTTAATCACATCTTGATCCATAGTATATACCATTTCCATGTCTAATATAAAGAACTACTTTCTCAATGAATTCGACTCAGTTGTGTTATATTTCAGCGAAAAAAAAAAAAAAAAAAAAAACCTCACTTGTGTAATTCAAATGTGTTTTTTCTTCTTTTCAAATGTAGTTCTTTTTTATTGCAGTTTGGAAACTTCATTAGACGTCTTATCATATATGTATATTAATTTTGGACTTAGATCACTTGTAGCATGAAATATGTAATCGCATATAAAGAACCTTTTTTTCTTTTCGCTTTTATACATTTAATCTTTATCCGTATGCGGTGGTTATATTAAAAATTATTATGATAGAAAATGACTTAATTTGCTAAAGCACGTGCCTTGCACTAATTATTTAATTAATTAATCTCCACTCAGTGTTAAATTACATTGAAACTTCAAAAAAAAGTATTAAATTGCATTGAAGACGTTGAAAGGCCAAACCTTATATTAAAAAAATGATAATTTAAATTTGGTACCCCGTGTTATAACAAAATTATCTTTTAATACTCTGTGTTTTTGATAAATTTAAATTGATATCTCTCAATGTTTAAAAAAATTAATTTTTAATATCGTGAGACATTTTTTGAGATATGAAATGTTGAATTTGTCCTTTTTAATAATTTGTGGTTCAATTGACATAAATTTACTCTTTATTAAATAAGAGGTGTTAAAAATTTTATGCGTTGTCAAAGAAGTTAAATTTTTAGCGAAATAGGGTAAAATTATACTTTATCACCCTAAATTTTGTTTCTTTGACACTTTGCATTGAAAGTTTGGATTTTAGTCCTTTTTATAATTCAAATCTCAATTCTTATATACCAACTCATTTAACATGTGAGTTGTCATTTTTACATTAGTAGATGTTTAAAATATTAACACGTCCTACTAATAAAAAGATAACAATTAATCTACCGCATTAGTTAGTACACAAAAGTTGGGATCTAAATTAGTGTCTCTAGAATTTTTTTTTAAAAAAAAAAACAGCAAAAGTTAACAGATAATTGATATTGCAAAATACCACTTAGTATTCCCCCAAGAAATTAGAAACCAAAAATTCAAAAATTGGAGGGTAATGTGCCAAAAAGTTTTTATAGGACATGAAAAGTGTCAAATAAGTGAAATTTACCCAATTGAGAGGAAGAAAAAGTGAAATTTACCCAAAATTAGGAAAATTTTCAAGAATGTCATAAAAAGATAACAAGATTTTATTTTTGCTATTAATTTTAAATCTATCATTTATATTATTAATTTTTACATAAGTTGACATGGTATAATTGGTCCAATACCATTTTAGACACCAAAAAATTGATATAATACCATTTTAGACACCAAAAATTTGACATAAGACTTGAGTCCGTTTTAATGATGATTTTTATTTATTTTTCCTTTTTTGATGGAATTCTTCCTTTTAATTGTAATTAGAATATTGTTAGATTTTAATATTGTAATATTAATTATTATGATTATTGATCCGCAAAACATGCCAAAATAATCATAAAATTAAATCTATTACCGGACTACTAGATAGTTTCCAACAAATAACAAAACAAGCAAAAATTAATTTCACAAACTAATAAAATATTTATTCGTTGCATTTTTTTTCTCCTTTGGTACAAAACGCATGTCGTTTTCATTTTTTTTTAGTAGGCGTCGTTTCCAATTTCAAATTTCTACCGCTAAGAGTGTGGAGTACTCGTTTCATCTCTTTTCTCTCTAACTCAGCTGCGCTCTTCAAAAAAAAAAAAAAAAAAAAACAAACAAACAATCACTCAAACCTCAAACCTCTGTGTCATGGCGAATCCGCCATTATTGTTTACGTTTTACAATTTCGCTGTCCCTCAATGTCCAAGCATCATCCCTAATGCTGATTTTAATGAAGTAGTTGCCGACTGGTTTCTGGAGAGGTGTGCCCAGAAACAGGATTACATGCTGAATTCTATGGAGATGAAAATCCCCAAAACCAGAACCATATCCAATGTCATCACTGCCAATCCAACGGTAAAGTTGTCTCTTGATTTTCTTGTTTTCTTTTCTTTAACAATAAAGACTCTTTCTTTATGAATATGTTCGATTCCTTTCCGTTTCCCTCCCTTTTCCCTAAAATCCATTGTTGCCCAGATTCTTATATTCTGTCCTCTTTGCTTATAGTGCTTCCAAACCCTATTTTATTGAAAATCCAACGGAGTCCTTTGTATTGTGTATAAATTTTTATATGATCTTCTAATTATTTATATTGACTTTGCTTATGACTTAATTTGGTAGTGCAGTGAATTTTAAAAAAATTATTTTTAACTGTGCTGAAGGAAGAAGCAGCTGTTACAAGAAGCAGCTGAGTGTTTGGTAAACTGTAATTATAATAACTGTGCTGATTCTAAAATTAGTATAATAGCGTTTAGTAAATTTTGAAGTGGAATTACTGTGGATATGTAAAATGACCAAAATAGACGTGGTATGAAACTTAAATAATATAATTATTTTTAGCATTTAGAAATACTTGTTTAACTTAAAAAAAAACATAATGCTATGATTTTGAATTTTTTAACAATAAATTTATGATAATTAATTCTTTTTTTTTTTCATTTCTTCATTCACAATATAATTACAACTAAAAAGAGCATAATAATAAATTTTCAATCTTGTCAACGCAACAAATACCATAATTATCAATTTTAGTAGGGTTCTTCTAAAAAATCTGTAAGAAACTTCGATACTATGATTTTATTGTTACAACTAAAAGAAACTTCGATGCTAGAAAACAACAAAATACACACACACTCACACACGTAAATACACGCACGCACACACACACACACACGTAAATACACACATATATATCCATACACACACACACGTAAATACAAACATATATATCCATACACACACGTAAATGACAAGATAAAGATTGCAAATAATATATATGGTGTTATTTATGAATGACATTTACTTAATTCAGATGCCGTATAGATCAAAGTAGGTGTTGCCCAGGACCCAGGTAAAGCTAATAATAAACTAGCAAAAAAAAAACAAGTTCCTACTTTCTAGATATCAAATTAAGTGATAGGACGACGGGGTTGTAGTTTTAGCACGGTGACGAGGACATTTCATTTAGATTAGAAAATTGAAACACTATTTACTCGTTTGTTTCACCAATTCAAAACTCTATGCCGAAGTGTTTTCAATCACAAAAAGTTAAAAAATTTGTTCAAACCTATGAATCAACACTCTAGGTTCCAATGTCATGACGATAAATTAACTGAATTTCTTTTACAGGATAAGTAAATTTGAATCCATGTATTAAAAATATGCTTGATCAACAACAAAGTAAAGGCTATTAGGAGTACTTTACAGCCGATAGGTCCAACACAAAATTTAGAGTCTCAACAAAAGATCGAGCTACATAGCATTCAAAGACACACAATTCCCTTGCAGGTTTTCCTCCTTAATCATATGGGATTTGAATGTAGGCAGCATCACAAACGAAGGGGACATCAGCATACATACCGGCAAGAGCGCAACGCAAGCACTCCAAGACAGTAAAAAGGTAAGCAAAAGCGACCCCTGTCCAAAAATGCATCCCCACTTTGCCCCAGTAGATGGCAAGAGGCATCCAGCGACTCACCGTCCCTATGACCTGCAGAGCAATTTCCAGTAACATACCCACCACGACATGAAACCTAAAGAAGTGCGGCCATTCCTTTCTCCTCACGACTCCAAGATATGCGACGAAAAAGTATGCCATCAAGAACCAGCCCGGCAACTGCCCAATGGCTCTAAGAAAAGGGTATGTAATGAACTCAAAATCTTCCAAAAAAGGGTGCAGGTGATAAGCTGTCTCAGCATACATCCAAGTTTCATGAAGGGGCATAAGATAAGGAAGACATGCTAGCGTTCTCCACCACCATCGAGGCTTCTTAGTCATTGGAGGGTACCTAAAACTGTAGGGGACATCCTTAGATGCTCTAGGAGACATACGAGATGCAAAGCGCCTTGGTAACATGGGGATAGCGCGCAAGAGGCTACCTTGATCACCACTTAAAAGTGGGGATGATCCAGCAGAAAGATGCAGCCATGACGCAATTGCTGCCATTAAAAACCAGCAGAACATTTCACCAGTCCTTTGGTCACGACTCACATCATATGTTGATCAGTACCATATCCAAAAGTTTGTTTAATTCAATGACTGTTCACTTAATGTCCATTAGATCAAAGATTTCCATTGTGTTTATAGTCATTGTAGTATCATTCACCACATTTCCTGTTACTAAAATCAGACTACAAAAGAGATAAATCCTTGTCCTGATACTGATTGGAAACAGGGGGAAAAAAAAAAAGAATAATCTTCAGTATTGTGTAACCGTAGTACTTACCATGTTGATGAGGCACTTGTGTGTTGATGCTTGGAAAAGAGCATCTGCTTTGCAAATGAGGAACGTGTGAGGTACTAGAAGCACGTATCAACATCTTAGATGTTCTAGAATTCAAATACACACACTCGATGGGTATGCTGATTCCATTTAGAATCATAGTCAGACTCCTGAGTGAAAACCAGCACCATGAGTAGAAAAAATAAAAAGTACGACCAGCTCAAAATAAGAAATTAGAGAAGATTAGAAAAGTACATTACCAATTTCAAAGTATAATAATAATAATAATAATAACAACAATATAAATAATATAAGCCTTGCTTCAAATCTACTCTCAAATCTAATTCGGTATTCCTTTCTGTTACTGTATTGCACATTCTGTAATCTACCTTTTGGTACCATTGAGCATCAAACATAAAGCAAACATAAATTTAATCAAAATTCAAATCCATCCAAATTCCAAAACAAGCACTGCAACGGCATGGTCAGACATATTGCTTTCGAAGTAATTTCTAGCTTCGATCACACCAAATTCTTTTGAGAAAAGTGAAAGACAAAACTATACGTGAGGTTTAATATGTTAAATTATTTCTCTAACCAAACCTTATCCGCACAACTCTATCCACATTTCATGATGTTTCTAATGAAACACCTTTCCTTCTTGATTTATATATTATATTATACATACTCACAAAAATGTAACCCTCCAACAAATTAAAGTAAGTCGATTGCTTTTCAAGCCATTCCTGAGTTTTCAACCATTTCCGAAAACTGAAAAATAGAAAGTCAATCATGGCTATAAGACTTCCATACGTTTTGAATGCTAAACAGATTCTACACCAGTCGAGGTTTTTTTTTAACAAACCAGTTTATAATTTTAAAAATCTGGATCCATATATATTGAAAAGCCCAATCATTGAAAAGCCTTAAAAACGACATCAAGTAGTTCTTTTGCTGGGAAAACGATAAAAATGAGTTGAAATTTATAGAATGAATGTACACAGAGGAAGCGTCAAGCTAGACATATAAATACCAAAATATGTGCACAGAGCAGTGAGGAGAGAGAGACCTAGAGGTGAGAGACGGAGAGAGCACAGAGCAGTGAGGAGAGGCCGAGAGGCGAGAGAGCACCGGAGAAACTCGGCAAGACGGCGGCCGAGAGGACTGAGAGGAGAGAGTTGTGAGGGCCTGAGGGGAGAGAGGCGGCCGAGAGGTGTGAAATGACTCAATGTGGGAAGATGGTTCTGAGGGTGAGGGAAGATGGTTCACGGTTGTGGATGGATCCGAATGGCAGCCTAGGGTCAGAACTTGGGCCCAAAGTATAATATTATTAATGGGCCGAAAGTAAGCCTGGGATGTGTTGTATTTACACCATGTTAGCTTAATCATTATGTTTACATTTTGTATTTACGCTATGTTAGCTTAATAATTCTGTTTACATTTTTTTTAGGATTTTGCCACCATTACGTACATATTTTTAGCATCAGCAATTCCAGTGATTTCATTTGGAGAACAATTGGATAGAAATACTATTGGATAGAAGATGGTTCACGGTTGTGGATGGATCCGAATGCCAGCCTCGGGTTAGAACTTGGGCCCAAAGTATAATATTATTAATGGGCCGAAAGTAAGCCTGGGATGTGTTGTGCGGGTTGGGTTGGGGTTATGGGTTGTTATGGGCCCAACCCACAATCCGTCCTAAATATTTCAGGCCAGTGGTATAAGGAGTCGAAAATTTAATGGCATGTTTACCTATGCGTAATCGGAATGAGTATGAATCAGAGTACACGTAATCGGAATGAGCATGAAGTAGGCAGGATTCAGAGTGGGTATGATTCGGAGTGAGGAATCGGAGTCAGAATAAACTGTTTACTTAGTGATATGATTCGGAATTAGAATCATTCTAAATCTCATTCATACGTTTACTTACACCCAGAATCGGAATAAAAAAGTGTAAAAGTACTAATATATCCTTTAAATCAATTTGATATTTTCAATTTAAGAAATATATTGTGTACTTATTATATTAAAATTAATCATAATTAAAATATTTAGTATAATAATTGGGTACTAAAATAATAAATATATGTTGCATTTATTATTTTTTGAATTTTATTTTGAATTGTGTATTTATAAGTAAAATAATGGTATGATAGTAAATTAATATTAATATTATGAATGAGAGTCTCAATCCTAAGGGGGGCATGTGAATGCAAATCCCATTCCTCAATCCCAAATTTGAGTGGGACTCACCAATATCACTTTCATTTCAGAATAAAAAAGAGCAAGTAAACATGAGATTGACTCCCATTTCCTACTCCTATTCTTCAATCCTGGTCAGTAAACATGTCATAAAAATAATGTTGCGGGTTACTTTTTTCAAATTGAATTGGGGTGGGATGTGTTGAATTTGCGGGTTGTTCAGATTTATGAACAGCCCTACATGGGATGCCCATAAGCCATCACACCTTTCTCTGTCATTAACTGGTCCAAATGCTGCTAAGGTTTCTGATTCTAGGTTGTAATTGCTGCCTCCTTTAGTTGCATCTTTATTAAATATGTCTTCTCTTTTTAAAAATTCTTTTTAATTTTTGCTGTTGTGCACTTGTCTATTCTTTTCATCTACTCTTGACCCACATTTCCATCAGCATCAAATCTACTATTTGAATTTGATTCCCTTTTGATCCCATTATCATTATCATCATCCAATATACTTTTTTTTTCCTCTACTTTTTCCTGGATTATAGCATATATTTCGAGCTTTCCTTAGCAAACCATTTTCTGCATCCTTATTTATGAAGTTAAAGAGCTTCAATTTAAGCAATTTTATGTTTTCTTGTTGTATCATACACATCCAATGCTATTGCCCTTTGAACATTCACACCAGTACTTCTTTTGTGCATTGTACAATGCTGTTCAGATTTTTGGTTATGGGTTAAAATTTGTTATGGCTAGCATATATTCAAAGCCTATATTTTTAATAACTTGAGGTTTTTTAAGTAATGTTCTTAATTGATCGTGCTCAATCTGCGCAAATCTTCTTTTTGTAGAACTTGTTATTGCTTTCTAAGCATTCAAGTGGGAGGGAGAATGTGATGCCATGGAAGAGATGTTTGTGTCGTTCCAAGGGATCAAGAACGATCTTCGAGGGCGGTTGATGAATATTACTTCTCCTTCTGGAATGTGATGAACTTGGATAATTTCAATATCAATTCCCTGACAGGAATATTGTTGGATAACCAATAATTTCAGGGTTGAGAGTTTATATTTACACCATGTTAGCTTAATCATTATGTACATTTTGTATTTACGCTATGTTAGCTTAATAATTCTGTTTACATTTTTTTAGGATTTTGCCACCATTACATACATATTTTTAGCATCAGCAATTCCAGTGATTTCATTTGGAGAACAATTGGATAGAAATACTAGTAAGATTCTCTCCCTCTTTAGATTATTTATTATTTTTTTACATTTCTTCTTTCTATTGACTTACTTATGATTTATATTGTAGGGTTGAACTTTGCACATTAATGTTCTAAAGATTTACACTTACATTCAAAATTTGTTTTGTTGATAGAGGGGGGTCCCCACAAAATTATCTACTGTGTGGAATTATACCCTCAATCTTAGGATGTCAGCCTTTGTTAACTCTTGGAGTTGCGGAGCCGACTGTGATCATGTATACATTTATGTTCAACTTTGCTAAGAACATACAGATTTGGGATCAGAGCTCTTTTTAACCTCCACTACGAGAAACCCCTCTTATGATAACACTAAAGCATAGCGTTTTTTAAGAGACGTTACCATAGGAGTTTATAATAGCTGTTTAATTTTGCAATCTAAAGTTTACATTATTACTTTATAATAATTTGATGATTTTAAAGCTTTGGGTGACTTTAATTTCAATCGATCCATATTGGCAATTAATTTGTTTTTTGTCTGCTTTCAAAAGAAAATATTTTTTCCCAAAAGTAACGAGCGCGGAATGAAATTTTCATGTCCCTCCAACCTTTCAAGGGAAAAAAACATTGACCCATCATGTAATTAAAAAACAAACATTCACGTTACGCATGCTTAGAGAGAGAACGAGAGAAAGAACAGTAGAGAGAAAAAGGGGGTCGAGGCCGGCGGGCCGACGCATTGCCGGTTCACTTGCCGCCGTTCGTGGTCCGAGGGCCGTCGCCGGCCGATCTTCACGAATCTGGGATTCGTGCCGCCCGGGGAGGGGGTTTTGGCTGGGACCGGAGATCGCGAGAGTTGCTGCGATGGAGGACCTCGTCGTTGTCGACTGTTGTCCGGATCTCAAGGGGGAAGAGCTGCCGTCATGCGAGGCGGATGTGGGATGCTCAGAACTCCCCCAGGAACGAAATGGGTTGGCGAGGGGCGGGATTGTTTCCTTGGGCGTCAGAATCTTTGCAAAGATTTTGGTGAGTGTTTCTACTATTGCATGATTTTCTTTTGCTTTTGATTTGCAATTTGTTTGTACATCATGTCTTTGCACAAAATTTGGCGAGTTTCTTCATTATGGTTGTGTATTTCAAACTTTTCTCAGAAATTTCTTCCGTTATTGGGCATCGACATTGTTTAGGCATTGCTCCGTTCGTCATTTTGGTGTGGTAGTCGTTCTTCCTTGGGCATTCATAACTGGGTGAGCTATAATATGAAATTCCTACAAATTTTCCTTAATTTCTTTCAGCATTTGATCTGACATTTCTTCTTGTTATCTCCGCTTGTTCTACTTCCACTATGTTTGTTGTGAGATTAAAAAAATTAGCGTTTACTTTTTTATTTTTTTTTATCTTTATGCATGTTTTGCTTATTCTAAATTGATGTTATTATTGATGCTTGGGTAGTTGTTCATTTTCATTTAATCTTGATTTCTTCTAAGCGATTTATTTGACTTGCCCTGTAATTTTTTCCTTTATCTAACAAGGAGATTGAAGTTTACAAAATTAGTCTTTATTCAGCTTGTTAACTTTGTTAAACCACCATTTCAAGTAGTTGGGTTTCCTATGGTGTTGTTAGAGTCGTACAATATGATTGATAAGGAACGTTTGATTTTTTGTTTTTTGTTTTTGTTTCTGTAAGGTTCATATTCTAATAGAAACTCTTATTTTGTCGTAAGAGTTATACAGTATGACTCGTAAGGAATATTTGCTATTTTTTCTATTTCTTTTAGCTTCTGTAAGGTTCATGATCTAATAGAAACTCATATTTTGTTGTTAGAGCTATGTAATAAGACTGATAAGGAATTGAGTGTCTATTTGGACAAAGGCACATAAAAAGAAGAATGGGGAACCTATCAATTCAATTGCCGGTGAAGTCATTGTAAGAGTATATTTATATCATAATAATTATTTATTCTCGTAAGTTACTATATAAATATTTTTTTGAAATATTTGCCGCATATTTTAATCAAGATTAGTTGTTTAATATTTAGGAAAATCTTGAAAAAAGTTAACAAGATCCAACATTGTTTGCTAATGAAATTGATATGCTAAATAGTATTCTAGCTTCTTACTTTGGTCTCGATCAGAATGGACATATGAGAGCAATGGGTCTTGGGATACCAGGACAAAATATTCTATTTTATCAAAATGGGATGACCACTTGTCTCTTTTACATGAGAAATATTCATCACGAATCGAGGAAGATGTTAGAGAGCTGAAAGAGGTACTTTATCTATTATTGCAAAATCAAGTGAGTTTTTTATTCATATGTTTTGGTTTAAATACATTATTGTAACTTTTCTAATCTTATTAGACAAGTTTTTGGTTGTATTAAAAGCAGGCAATGAAGAATTATGGCTCTCCTCCTTTCTACTAAAGGTATTCTCTGTGTTTTCAAATCTATGATTATGATATGCAATCTAGGATTAGGTATCTTGATAATAAAAGACTTCGGAAGAATCTTATGCACCATAAATGAGTTTATGTTAACAGGACATTTTATACTATAGCATTCTTGCAGCATTCTTGCAGCATTCTTTGTCAGATTTGCAACTAAGGGGAAATTAGTAGGTCTAGCTAATTCACTTCACTGCGTACACTCCATTTTAGCATTTTTGATCTTCTGGTCAATCTTTTCTTACATTTCATTTTACATTGCTACATTTAAAATAATTGGGCAATTTTTGAACAGTGAACTTTTTATCATTCTTAACGGGTAAACTAGTTGATTTCTGCATGTACACTTGGTGATTCCTTCTCTGTGGGACGATGTATGTACTCTGTACAATTTATTACTTGTCTGTGACACGTGCACTTGCGAGCATAAAAATCACGCAACAGATGGTTTAAATTTTAAGAACTTACAAATATGATATATAATGAAAATAAATTTAATTAATTTGTGATTTAATGATACCTTAATTCCTTTATTTTGGGGATTTGAATTTTTTAAAACTTAGATATCTCACAAAATGTAGGAAAAAGTAGAGCAACATCTAGATTACATAAAAAACTGAAATATCATTATAAGGTCAATAATGTAATTACATAATAAGTTATTTAGATGGCATTATACAATTAAGTTATTGAAGAGATATTCTTATTCCCATGCCACATTTCAATTCTAGAGTTGTAATTCGGCCATATGTTTAAATTATCCTTTGCAGAATACCGAAATGCTTAGAAACAAGATGAACTAAGTATTACGGACAATTCTGAGGTTAACTAGTGACTATTGCCAATATAGCAGCGCTAAACAGCTTCGTAGACACATGGAACCATTTAGCATTTTTGTTGCAAATAACTTAGTATAATATGTATTGTTTGCGTACATTTAGAATTTTGAATATATTAGCACATGAAGCTTTTTTTCTGAAGTGAAAATCTCATTAAATAGTCTCAAATGATTACTAAGGTGAATTATTATAGATTTATGGGATCGGATTAACATATATACTATTTTGGTTTCAGTTCTGAGCATTAAATACTAATTTCTTTGCTGTAACAGATTCCAATCAAGTGGCCTAAGAGCATAGATGAGGTATGGAAAGCAAATATTCCCCATACCCACCTTGCAACTGAGAAGTCTAACCAGAATTGGATGATACACTATGCTTTTTGGAGAATAATATATGGTTAATGAACTTAATTCATTTATATATCAACTATCAAGTCTGTTGTCAGTATTTTACACCCAAATTGTCTTTTCATTTTTCTCATTGTCTTTTAAGGTTTTGTGCAGAAATGAGTTTGATGAAGTCAGTTAATAGAATGCTGAAGGATGAGATTGCAAAGGTAAGAATGTGGTTATATAAGATGCTTCTTTTTGGAGAGTGTATGAATGAAAATGCCCTTTCTTTTGTGGTTGGTATTGTTAATTTAGTGGAAATTGGGATGTGGAGTTTTGTCTTTCTTATTAGTCTACGTTATTCAATCACTAAAAATACTATATGCCTTTCATACTTTTCCCTTACTTTCAGTCTATTTTGATGTTTATATAACCTCCATTAATCTTTTCATTAGTTCTGATCGGCATTTTCTTGCGGATCCATCTTTAGTTTTTCCTCCTTTACTAACTGTTGCAGTTGAACGATCAATTGTAAGATCAGATTTCTGTATCAAGCAGCAGCTGTTTGAATGCTCGGATTAATGCTTGGTGTCCTGGGGACAAAGAGGCTCCCTAACCCAAGTAGATCTTTTGAGCTCGCACACTGTTCTCGATGTGGGAGAGAGATGAGTGCGCTTGTGGAGCGCATGTGTTGGAAAATAGCTGCTAAAAGGAACCAGGAGTCATATCTTTTGTGTAGAGTAAAAGAGTCCTATGCAGTATGCATTTATATCCCTTTTTCTTTGAAGCATAGCTTTCCATCATTTTGGTGTTAGTAGCCAGGCATAACATTATTTTCATTCGGACTTGAAAAAATTCTAACCAAACAATTTTCAAAATTTTTAGAAATCCATAGAGCAAAAGGAAGTGATTTGGCTCCTTGGCTTGCTCGACTGACCAGTCCACCTTCCCGCCTAGTTGATTTTGGATTTTCCACTGATATGTTTGACAAGGATACGGTAATCCTTCATTTATACTTAATCACTCTGCACGTACATAATTTCATTTCTTGTCCAAATATATGTGTTCATGACTAATGAGTAGAACAATTTGGTTTGTGACCGTGTTGCCGGAAGTTTGGCAGCAAAGAGTTGACAATTACTGGCATTTGTTGAAACCAAAAATCAAGTCAAACACACTTAGGAACATAATGGACATGAAGGCTAACATAGGTTCCTTTGCTGCTGCTTTGAAAGGCAAAGATGTGTGGGTGATGAATGTGGTGCCAGTATTTGTACATTAGAAGCACATGAATTAGTAAGTTTCTTACACCCAACTGTTGATCTCGAGCTTTTGCACACTTGGTTGACTATTAAAATTAATCATAATTAAAATATTTAGTGTAATAATTGGGTACTAAAATAATAAATATAAATTGTATAACTATTTAAAATATAATAAATAAATTTTAAAAAAATTTAAATAAAATAAATAAAAATAAAAAATAGTGTTAAAAAGTAAAATATATTATTAATTTATTAAAAAATAAAGTGCATATTTATTATATTAAAGTTAACAATAATTATGCTAATATTATAATATTAGGTAAATAAAATAATAAATATATGTTGCATTTATTATTTTTTGAATTTTATTTTGAATTGTGTATTTATAAGTAAAATAAAGGTATGATAGTAAATTAATATTAATATTAGGATTGGGAGTCTTAATCCCAAGGGGCGGGAGTGCCAATTCCATTCCTCAATCCCAAATTTGAGTGGGATCCACCAATCTCACTTTCATTTCAGAATAAAAAAGAGCAAGTAAATATGAGATTGACTCCCATTCCCTACTCCTATTCTTCAATCCTTGTAAGTAAACATGCCATAAAAATAATGTTGCGGGTTACTTTTTTCAAATTGAATTGGGGTGGGATGGGTTGAATTTGCGGGTTGTTCAGATTTATGAACAGCCCTACATGGGATGCCCATAAGCCATCACACCTTTCTCTGTCATTAACTGGTCCAAATGCTGCTAAGGTTTCTGATTCTAGGTTGTAATTGCTGCCTCCTTTAGTTGCAGCTTTATTAAATATGTCTTCTCTTTTTAAAAATTCTTTTTAATTTTTGCTGTTGTGCACTTGTCTATTCTTTTCATCTACTCTTGACCCACATTTCCATCAGCATCAAATCTACTATTTGAATTTGATTCCCTTTTGACCCCATTATCATTATCATCATCCAATATACTTTTTTTTTCCTCTACTTTTTCCTGGATTATAGCATATATTTCGAGCTTTCCTTAGCAAACCATTTTCTGCATCCTTATTTATGAAGTTAAAGAGCTTCAATTTAAGCAATTTTATGTTTTCTTGTTGTATCATACACATCCAATGCCATTGCCCTTTGAACATTCACACCAGTACTTCTTTTGTGCATTGTACAATGCTGTTCAGATTTTTGGTTATGGGTTAAAATTTGTTATGGCTAGCATATATTCAAAGCCTATATTTTTAATAACTTGAGGTTTTTTAAGTAATGTTCTTAATTGATCGTCCTCAATCTGCGCAAATCTTCTTTTTGTAGAACTTGTTATTGCTTTCTAAGCATTCAAGTGGGAGGGAGAATGTGATGCCATGGAAGAGATGTTTGTGCCGTTCCAAGGGATCAAGAACGATCTTCGAGGGCGGTTGATGAATATTACTTCTCCTTCTGGAATGTGATGAACTTGGATAATTTCAATATCAATTCCCTGACAGGAATATTGTTGGATAACCAATAATTTCAGGGTTGAGAGTTTGTATTTACACCATGTTAGCTTAATCATTATGTTTACATTTTGTATTTACGCTATGTTAGCTTACGCTATGTTTACTTTCTTTTTCTAAATAGCTGTCTTTCTTTTTTTTTTTTTTTTTTTTTTTTTTTTTTTGCTTTTCGGTTGAAACCCAAAGATATTCATATAATGTAAATCACACCTTCGCAGCCGACATGCATGATGATGAGTTGCGACCGGTGAGGGCACGTGCCCCAAAAATGCACACCTAAATTGTTTTTTTTTTTTTTTTTTTTTTACCATCCCACAACATAATTAAAAAGATGGATGGAAATTTATTGATGTCGCAATTAAAGAATAATACTGTAACCATTCAATTTCTCAAGTCATTATTAAACTTGTTTGAACAAAATTCCCTAACTTAATTTATTCGGAAATTACTAAAATTTTAGAGAAATTCTTTTTGAATTTAAAATATTTAAACTTTTAGACCCCAAAAAAGGCTATAATAAAATGATAGAATGATACTATTAGCACTCAAAAGTTCTTAAAAGTGATAAATTCCGGTATAATATAATTAGACTATACTCTGATCTTAAAAAACCTAGTAGTGATCATCATGGATTTGCTACATGTAGAACCGTTGAGTTCAAAAACAATGTTTGTAAAAGCTTCCACATATCCATTGTCAACTCTCCAGTTTAAACTAAAAGCAAGTCTGCACTCCCTTCTTTATCAAGGAACTCTAAAAGTTTGTTCCTATTTGTCACTATTAAATATTTAAATTAAGTTGCCTAATTTGGGTATGAAAAAACTCTGAGATATACGATGCTTTGAACGATTTGTAAATAAGATAAAAGACTGAAAGCCAATTGACAAACATAATTTTTAAGGCACATGATGCAATTAGGTTTGAACAGCTTAGAAAATAAAGTATTAGAAATTTGAATTGTTTGATTTGCATCTTAGTTTCTTTACATTTAACGCATGCATATTGCATTAGAACCAATCTTGTTTATTTTATTAAATTTAATCGGCCTCAACTACAAGTTAAAGGATCTTTTTTTAAATCTGACACCATTAACAGAAAGAGCTGATTGTGCAGTGTGAAAATCTGTCTTTGAGTAATCCTCTGCAGTGTACAACAACTATGTTATGGATGATCTACTGGCACTGTAATGTATGTGAAAACTATTGTTTTTTGTTACAATTGGGTATGCCTAATGTCACGACCCCAAGAATTGGGTGAGATTATTAGAGTTTAATTTAAAATCTAACTTAATTAAATTAGATTGTTTAACAAAAATCACAAAAAAAAAAATATATACATAAATATAAATATAGTTTGCTCCGGATACTTTTTTTTATAAATAATATTTAAAACAGTTCATAAAGTCCAAAGAAAATGGTACAACTCTGGGAAAATAGTACAACTCTAGGACAATGTCGACCAATACAGTTTATATACAGAAATACAGTACATCTTAGTATTAAAACTATAAATCTGAAAAAACGTACCGCTTCGAATCTCGCGCCTTCAATCCAATGGCATCTACTTGTCACGCTGTAAATCTAAACCGCTAACTCTGGAGGAGGAGTTTAAAACATTGAAAACATAATAAAAGTGAGCAGAATGCCCAGTAGGATATAATTTTATAAAACATTATAAATAAAAGTACTCACGGCCCGAAGACATACACCCGGAACCGATCATACAATTTTATAAAACATTGTAAATAAAGGTACTCACGGTCTGAAGACATACACCCGAAACCGATCATCGTTTTTTTTTAAAGGAAATACTCACATAGTGGTGGTAAAAAATCTGTATAATGAAAATATGTAGAGCCATAACACCATTGAGCAAGAAGTGGTAAAATGTTTGTATAATGAAAATGTGTAGAGCCATAACACTACTGAGCAAGAAGTGGATCCATACGGGTTTCGAGTCCGGCCCCGAAGGATACGATTCTCATATCTCGATCTTTGAAACTACCATGCATTTTATCATTTCTTAAAATATTTCATTTTAAGAAATGATACTTTAAAAATCTCATTTCTAAAAATTATTGGAAAGTCAATAGCATTATTCATGTTATTCCTTTAAAATCATTTTCTTTCAACATGTTTTGTTCTAAAACATTTTCATTGGCCAAAATCATTTAAAGTAAGGCTAACAAGCATATGGACAAGAATATCCTACCTCTTGACAATTTAATCTACAGATAATTTCACGCTATCCAACCGTCTATTCTTGAAGCTCCATGGCTCGCTCTGAACCTTAACTTAATTTGCCTCGATCTGTGTGCACAGTTCGGTAGACATTTCAACGGAGTCAAATTGGCACAAACGGAGGTCACCATTGCGTTCAGCACGTCGAAACGAGTTAGGATATGGTCTCAGATCTTCGATCGAACATCGGGAACCTCAAGAACTGAGACTCACTGGAATCTAGCCACCGGCAGCGGCGGCGGAGGTTGCCGGAGCATATTTTTGCAGCGGACTTGGGTTCTACCCCTACTAAATCAACCATTCTAAGTTCAATGGTGCCGTCAATTTCACCAAATTCTGCCTCTATCTACTCCGATCATACCCAAAAAGTCGGCAAAATCCGGTGACTTGGTTCTCGATTCTCTGGCAATGGAACCTCAAACTTGGCTGAGGGCTTTTGTTACCCACTTCTTTTTGAGTGTTTTGACACCAAAATCATGACGATCCAATGATTGGATCATCGGAACCACCCTCCACCCAAACGGTGGCAACGGCGAGCTCTGATCTTCGGCAAACGGCGGTGGATTCGGGCTGCTGAAGGTTGCTTCTTGCTCTACGTTGTCCTCTGAGTCCAATGCCACCGATGCTGTCAAAAATGGAGGCCAGAATAGTGCACAACGGAGAGGAGGCGTGGCGGCCGAAATGGGCGGCTCCTGCGACGGCGCTCCGGCGAGAATCGACGGGTGAGATGGCATGAGTTTTGTTTGTCTCGTTGAGTTGAGTCCATAGGGACTGGAATCACTCTAATCGGAGGTCGTGCGGTATGTCAACGAGTCTAGTTCATCGAGAGCTTTCTAATGGTGTGGGTGGTGTCGTAAAACGACACCGGAATCTCACCGGTGGTAGGTGGCCAGCATGGAGAGAGAGAGAGAGTAAACATGAGAGAGAGAGAGAGTAGGAGAGAAAAAGGAAAAAAAAGAAAGAAAAAGGAAAAAAAAGAAAGGAAAATAGGTTTGGACTTTCTATACAAATTTGATAATTAGACTTCAAAGTTCCATTTGAATAGAGTATGAAATTACTTATTATTTTTATTCTAAAAAATTAGTTACCAACACTTAAAATTGTTCGAAGGACAGTAGTGTCAATTTCAAAAGAATCATTTTTAAAGGAAAATGGTCTGTTACATGATAATTATAACTGAAAATCTTTTACTAATCTCAAATTAATTAATACTAACTATCAATTTAATTAATTAATCTCAATTAATTTAACGGATGTTACACCTAAACAAAAAAAGAGTGAATTAAAGCGCAAAAAGCAAAAATAAAAATGTAATAAACGTTTTTTTTTTTTTTTCACATACACAATACTAGATATTTTGTTAGTACTAGAAAAATCGTTAGTTCTATCATCATTTGCTGCATATATATACCGTTAAGAAAGCGGGTGATACGTTAGATAAGTACTAAATTTGTTGTTTTGTTGGAAATCATCCCACGGAAGTAGAATCTCATAGGGATTACCCCCTGTGGTGTTCATTTTGAGTTATAAAAAGGGGGGAAAAAAACCTTCTGATTTCTTTTAAGTCTCAGACTCCTCCAATTACTACTAATTAACTAGTATATAAATAAGGAATTTGGGTTTATTTAGACTACCTAAGTGCATTTTTCAGAGAGCAATTGTTTATTTACTTTAGCGGTTGGAAGGAAACAGAGGGTTTAAAAATTCTTGAATTGTGCCCACATACAATGATTTGTGAGAAGGAGAATAATATAGAAAGACAGTTAATAGAACGTCTTCTATAGAAAAGCTCTGTTTCAAGCGTTGTTTCCATTTTTAAAAGGATAAGTATTAGATTTAATATATTGTTTATAGTAACTTGAGTTGGTATGTAATTGGTAAATAATAAAAAAAAATTTTGAATTCCGCTACACCAACCGATTTATTTTTTCTTCCTCTCCTCCGTTGCTTTCTGCCGTTCTTCATAGAAATCAATATCAGAAGATTAATGAACAAGCTTACGCAAGGAGATTTTTAGATTCCGACTTTTCTGAACTTATTTTGTAAATTTAATTCAACTTTTTATTAATTTTGTGGATGTTTTGTGATTTTTGTAGATTTTTTAAGTATTCAAATGAGAAAACCGACGGTAGTACAGTAAACTATGAATGGTTATCAAAGTAGATTTTAATCATTTTCAAATTTTTTCCACCCAGTATTCTTCTCCAAAATAGATCAGGGAAACAATTAAGATTTGCGTACGTTAAAATGTATTCCAAATATTTAGAACATGAAAGCTAGTAAATGGCTGTTCATTCTTACCATTCAAAGATTCATATCTTTGCACATGTACAGATATAATTAGTACATATTATTTAATAAAAAAATCATGCATATATATATATATATATATATATATGAAATGACCCAAACAACTCATATTTTTATAGAACGTGTTTATTACAAACCACATTAAGACTCCGAGACTTCTCCAGTACGTTTACATAAACTCAAGGAATACAATAAACGTCTCTTAAAAGAGATTATTGAAACTTATTTGCTAACAAGGTCTTACATCTTAATCAAGTGCATTTCATAGACATCTTGCATCTTTCCACTCTTAATGTTTATTTTCATTACTACAACATCAGGACACAGAAAAACAAACTTATGCCTTTGCGATATCAATGGTAGCCTTTCCATCGTGGGCCTTCCTGTAATAGTGCCTACAGTAGTCCGAGTACAAAATTGGCTTGTAAATCGGTTTCTCTCCGGTATTAGCTAGAACTTCAGGCAACGGAGCGATGATATCTTCGG